GGGCAACTCTGTGTCCTCTATACCAGTAGTGTCAAACTTAAATAGAAAGGGGCCGCTAACCTGTCCATAAGGATCCCTGTAGGCTGCATAACAACTTGGAAAACCACATATTAACATTATCTGTATTCTATTATATTGTGATTTATTTTGTTAAATATATTCCTCAATAACATTCTAATCTGGTTCAGGCCGCATTTTGCAATGTAGAGACCCATAGGCCATGTGTTTGGCACCTGCACTTTACCCTGCTGCTTCTCAGCATGCTTATGTACAGATATGTTCTCACTCAGTAGAATGTTAGGCCAGGAGCCCCTTTGGTTTGGTTTTGTATCCCTAACTACTAGCACAGGGTCTGGCCCATAATGTAATAAATGCTTATTGGTTGATTTATAAATTTTGGTGATGTTGGTATATCAAATTGTTTTTTCTTGATAGCTCAAGGTCTTTATCTTTGCCACTTGCTGTCTTTGGCATTTGACATTTTAAAGCTTATAGTTTAAATATTATGTTTCTTTGTATTTTAAGCTTGGGAGTTCTCTTTGGTAACAGTTTGTGAATTTTATCAATCTATACTTAACCCTGAGCTTTCAGTACTTCTGAGCAATTTTCACATTATTTTCTGAATTATGATTTTCAAGCTTTTTAGATCATCGTTATTTTTCTGATAGACCTATGATCCTTAAGTTATCTCTGCACAGCCTGTCTTCACAGTCACTTAGGCTTATTCATATTTCTTCAAATGTTGATAAGTTTGCTTCTGTTCTATTAAATTTTCTTCATGGTCTGTGAGTTTTAGTTTTAAATTTGCTATTCACCCACCTCCCCCACCCCCATTTTTTTTTTGTAAGAAAAAAGTTAAAAGAATAGCAGATTTGAAACTAAACTCATTTGACTTGTTTTGGAGACATTCTCCACCGAGTGGTCTTAATTGTCTATGCTCTCATTTATCTTACTGATTTTCATTTTTGAGAGCTCTGATTTCTACCTTAGTTTCCATTCTCTTTTTGATTTTTATGTCCTTTATTTTTATTTCCTATTTGAACCATTCTGTGGTTTCTTTTTGGTTTATTGTTTTGGGGTCTTGTATAATTCATTTGCTTTCTTTTTCATTTGGAGTTTGGGGGTTTGCCCTTCATCGTTGCATAATTTTTCCTTTTTTTATTCTATCTTATCTTTTTCTGGCTTATCTATTCACTTCCCTTATTTCTTTAAACCTCATTGCTAGTATATCTGCTGAGAGTTTCTTTTACAGCCTTCTTGCTGTGCACCGCCTTGATTCTGATCAGTGCCATGTCTGACTCCTGTACTTTGTTTCCTCCATTGCATCACTTTCCAGGCTGCTGAGACTGACCAGCATCTATGGCCTGCTTGGTTTATGAGGGTGGTCCGTACAGTGTACAAGCTCTGTGGGGAAAGGGCCACAACTAGGTCAGTGCCTCCCTGATCCACACTGTGGAAGTCCCATACCCTCTGCCTAGCTCTGCCCTTTCCATTTCATAAATGTTCAGCCTTTCTTTTGTTGGGCTGGATGAGTTCAGTACTCCCTTCCTGTTAATATGAGGGATGTGGTGGGGTTCAGACCTGCTCACGGCCAGGGAAGGCAAAGCTTGAAACACAAGCCTGTTGAATTGTTCATTGTAAGTGGTTAAGGTCAGTGGGAATGTGCTGCTGTGCATCTTGCCATTTTTATTTCAGACAGTTTTACCTTGTGTGGCAGAATTCCTTTCTTTTCTTCTTGCTGCAATTATAATTACTTTTATTTAGTGTATTTTTTTTTATTTTGAGGTTTTGCAGTGAGAAAGTTATAAAAGGTATCAAAAAAATCTTAATGCAGTTTAAAATTATTAAAGCTTCAAACTTGCATTTAGACTTTTGGGACACCCTCTCCAAAGACCCTCCTCCTCCTTTACTCGAACATCCTACCGTTTGAAGGTGCTCTTCCTTATATAAGCAAATTATCAGCAAATTGTTTTTCAGAGTGGTTGGGGATTAGGGACTTTGATAGAGGCAGTATCTGCTGAAACCTGAAAAAGACCTCATGTTTTTCAGATCTAAAGGAATAACATCAACAGTTTGGACAATATAATTAACACGGTACTATCAAGTCTGTCATTTACTAGCTGTGTAACTGGTAGTAAATTACTTGTTTTCTATGGGCCTCATTTTCCTCATCTGTAAGGCCCTTTCTGGCTTTAATATTCCACAGAACTAACCAGAGGTCAAGTTGCCATCATTCTGTCTGCCTAAGAGTATAAGTGTCTAGATTGTAAGAAATAGCTCAAGGCTTGAGATGGGACACAGAGAATTCCTTAGATCAGGGCTGTTCATGGACACTGGCTTCCTGAACTTGTTATAAAATAGCAATGCCTGGGCATTGAGCACACCTACTTACATTTAGATATTATTTCTAATAGTGTTTTAAACTTGGTTTATATTCTGAATCTTAACCTTAAGTATGCAGCTACAATTCACATTTAAATAAGATACCCTTGAATGGGCACAAACCTAAACCTGTTTAAGGGTTTCCGATTTCCTACTCCATCCCATTCTGCCTCCTACTGGTTAAGACCTATTAATGAGATGCTGGTTCTTTGAGCTCCTGAGCACTTATGATGAAAGAAATAAAGTATATTTAATGATTGCTAACAATGCTTCTTTACTCATGCCTCTATTTCCATGTTTATTATTCTTCAATAGAATTTTCTTCTTTAAAAAAAAAATTCTGTGTTTAAAAGGCCATAATTTCCTTTCCTTTATAAATGAAGATGCATCTGTAATATTAGTAGATACAGTCTGAGCAGACTGCTAACCTTTTCATAGTATTTTGATTGGATGGGTTTTCTCTTTCCATAACTGAACAACCAGTTATTTGACAGAGTGCTTAATAGATTTCTTTCATCATAATGAAGCCTCGCCTCATCTCTATAAAGTAAAATCTGCTGCTAGGTCTGATGTCTGCAGTGGAGTCCTTAGAGAGTGCTATTGGTTAAAATGACCAGTGTGCTCTAAGACTAATTGCACAGAGCTATGCTATAGACAAGTTTTATTGCTGCAGTTTCTTGAATTATGTTGAATAGCAGCAGCATCAGCAGATTTCAGTTTCCACTCAAGTGCTCTAGCACCACTGTCATTCTTGCTGGCATCTTTTCTCTATTGATCTTTTTTATAAAGAGAAAGCTTTTTTTTTTTTTTTTTTTTTTTTTTTGCATTGTCTGGCTGTGGAGATGCTGTTTCCCATTGAACAAAGAATAGTGCATTGGAAGAAATCTCTGTGAGGCAAGTGAGCAGTAGTCAGGGGTCATCATAAAAATGGTGAATTTTTCTTGTTTCTGATTTTTTTCCTACTGTATACCTTTAAATAAAACATTTTCTTTTATTATGCCTTTCTCTTTGAATAATGAATAAAAGAGATGGGAAAAGATTTTGTTGTTGTTAAGGTCTAATCAAATCCTGAAATAATTGTCTTCTCTACCCACAGTAATAGGATAGGCTTTTGGGCTGGTGCATATTTTATTTCATATCATGAAGAGTATTTCATCAAATTCTAGCACATGATTTTGGTAGTGATAATAGTCCTGTAGGTTTCTCTGTTTGTTTGGTCAGTGAGTTTTGCATAAATGGGGAAGACAACTCATTTTTGAAATGTTTTAAGCAAAACCTCACTTGAATGTGTGGCATTGTCCACATTTGAAGAGACAGATTTTTGCCAGCCTCAGCCCCAGTGGCAGGAAGCAAATATTATAATCCATGTTAACTGTTTAAAATTTATTCTTGAGTCTAACATTGCCTTTCAAGTATAACTCCTTAACTCTTTTGTTTATGGAATGTTTGTATTGGTGCGTTTATTTCCAGTTTTTCTTTACTCAGGGTCTGAGGTCTTTAAACAGCAGAAATTTTACAATAAGTGAGTCATGCTGTAAAGATTCCTCTCTACCTTAGATACCTGTGTAGGTCCATTTGGCTAATTATTACATTAATATATTGTTGGCAAGTAAATGTTGGAGAGAAGTTGACAGCTTCACTTGTACTTGGTCTGCTCTCACTGTGTCACAATTCATCACCAGGCTTATCTGCTTCAAAAACAGGAGATCAGAGGTGGGAGGGAAAGGCTATCTCAATCATGCTTAAAATGTCCAGTATTTTCCATTCTTGCAAGCTGTGTCTTCATTTTGATTTAATGTTTAAAGGAAATTGAACCATTTTCATCAGCAAACTAACTTCCTTAAAAACTCAGGAGTGTAGTATATTTTTTTTTCTTTTTGGTGTGTTTTGAGTGCAAAGTATAATATTTATTCACAATAAGTTTTTCTTTTCTTTGAGCAGTTTTACTCTGGGCACCGATCTCCTCACATTCCATATAGGTTATTGCACCTGGTATGGACGCATGCACGACATTTAGCAGGGTACGAGCAACAGGATGCACACGAGTTCCTCATTGCTGCATTAGATGTGCTGCACAGACACTGCAAAGGTAAGGGCCTGGCTGGCAACTCATTCCATCTCATTCATTGCTTCTGATAGCGGTTCAAAGAAGGGAATTTTCCTCAAGCTGGAGGAAAGGAGAAGGAAGAGAGAAAGCTTGGATGAAGTATGTGACTGATTAGGAATTTGTATGTAAAGAATATTTCCTTCCTTTGCATTTACAAACCATGAAATCGATTCAAGTAATTTTTACTTTATGACCAAGACAAATATCTTAACTACCTAGGGGAGGATTTCCCCTTACCAGAAGAAAAAAAGAAGGGAGAGAGAAATCTGTAGAAGTCTTAGTCAAATGGAACAACTTTGTAGTTGATATTTTGAAATTTCTTATTTAAATATTTTTCTCTTTTTGAAAATAGTTCAGCTGCTCCTTCCTGCTGCCCCCTCCTGTGCACATGCATATAAAGCTAGCACATTGGTTTTACAACACCAGTTTGCCTTTTCACATTGTCCTAAGTCAGTTTGACTCAAGAGAGTTAGATTAGCTGTACTTTTTAAGCTTTATACCTTGCTTTTATTCACACGCCAGTGTCATAGTACACTACCCAAAGTAGATAATCCAAGGGCTCTGGCTCTTCTTTGGGGCAGCTCTGTCTGGGTATCATGACTTGACATTGTGGGCTTCTTCCTGACTCGCCCACTAAAGCAGCTCTGGTTCAGAATCAGCTTAATATTTATGGAGTTTGTAATTTAGACATGATTTGGTTCAGCCATTTTTCTGGGTTTAACTCAGTAAGGATAAAACTTAATTTTTTTTTTTAAAAAACACAAATTGAAATGCTTTCTTTGTTCCACTGAGAGGCTTCCAATCCATCAACCATTCAGAACATCAGGATCAGTCAGTCATCTCGCATTTACTAAACACATGCTACTTAGCAGCCATTGTGCTAGGCACTGGGGAAACAAGTACAAAGAATGAAGCAATTTAAGAAAAACAAAAGCAATCCCCAGAAAGGTAAAACAAATTAGGATTAAATGTTTTTTGCCTGCAAACACAGGAGTTTAGAGTTCTTGACTCTTCTTCTGGCTTTAGTAGATGCTGCACAACATCAGAACAATATCAGAAGTTAAGCTGCCAGCATGGTTTTGGTGTCAGCGATGCCATCAGCTGCAAAGGTAGCAGCCAGGATCGTGAACTTAGCCAGATCCTTTCAGTTCATTTTCACACCAACCAAAATGTATTTAGTGTTGATGCAGGAAATTCTGGTTTGCAGTGTCAAAAGATGGAAATTGCTGGTAATTCCTGATGCAGAGTGTGAAACTATAACATCATAGAGGCTAATAGTGCGAAGGACAGAGCCCATTGATGTCAGGAGTTATGTGAAGCCTTGTTCCTCAAGGGCAGTTCTTTCTTACTATTGGAAACCACTAAATGTAGGTGCTATGCAAAAGTGCAATAAGAATAAGTCATTCCAAAAATTTCTCCATTCTGCAATCAAGCCATGCTGAAGAGTCAGGCGGCATTCGGTGTGAGGCTCACAGTGGTCAGGTCTCAAGCCAAATACCATCCTCCTTTGTTCAGGAGTCTCTGTTGCTGGGCATCATTATACTTCTACTGCCCATTAAGGTTAAAGAGTCTTCTATCATAGACCCTTAATCTATTGCTTTTTTACAAAGCATTTCAAAAATTTCAAGAATCTCTTGCATAAAACCTGCGTGGCTTAATTTGATAGAAGTAAGAAACATTCCCTTCTCTTCTGCAGCAAGGTGTACATCACTTCTTTGTTTCTCTGGAATGACAAAGACTACGTAGAAGCATAGATCAGTTGGCCTTTGGGAATCTTTTTTCAAGCTTCTGTTTCTCATTCTATAATTACTACAAAATAGTGAATCAAAAAAAAAAAAGACAGCACCAACCCAAGTGTTGAGAAACAACCAAGGAAGATGATTGATAAACCATTTTAAAGCATAAGACATAAGTAATTGATCTTTAAGAATAAAGTCTTTGTGTCAAATGCTTCATTCAAGAGTTAACTGAAGGAGGGAAAAATCTATACCTAAATTAAAGCTGCTCTGATGGAAGCAAAGTATGCTGTCATCCAGATGTGGACACTAGCCCCGGACTGGGGTGTTTACAATAGTTAAATCCTTGAAGGACGTTCTGCAGATACACTGAGGATTTCTGAAGGTATATACATATGTAATGATTACTACTGAGAGGGAGCTCTTAAGAAAGGTACTCCTGTGGAAAGGATGGCTAAATAGAGTGCTTTGCATGTGATAGACCTTTGATTGGGAGGAAGCATGATCTAGAAGGAGCCCTGTATTTGGAGTCAGAGGATCTGAATTCGGACTGCTTAATTCTGCTTAATTGCTGAGTAACTGTAGATGCATATTTATAGTGCAAAAGGACCTTAGAGGCCATCTGATCTAACCCCCTTATTTTACAGAGGAGGCAGAGTGTCATCCAGGTAGCATCTGAGGCAGAATGTGCACTCTTTCTGATATTTCATGATCAGCACTCTGGGGGCTATCTCCAGTTGTCCTGATCTATATCTTGCCACTGGACCCAGATGGCTCTGGAGGAGATAGTGAGGCTGGTGACTTTGCACAGCTCTCCCTCACTGAAATACAGTTCGCTTGCAAGTCATTGCATCACCTTCCTGATGTCATGGTCCTCATTGAGAATGAAGGATAAACTACAGCAACAATAACAGGCTAGCACTCCTGTGCCCTGTGCCACTGGGGAGTTGAAAGGAGAAAGAAGTCACAGAGACCACATGGTATAATAGGAGGAAGGAGAGATGATTTTGGAGTCAGAAGATCTGTATTCAAATGCCAGTTCATTTGCTGTGTATGCCACTGATTCATGGTGTGTAATTTAACCTTTCTGCAAAATTGGAATAACAGCAATAATAGCTGTTGTTTATACAGCACTTTAAGGTTCACAAAGTGCCTTATATTCATTATCTCGTTTGATGATGCTTGAGCTGTCTCCCTTGCAGAGGTATGTGTGACCCTGAAAACCAAGTTGAAAGGAATGGGAAATGTTCCTGAAAGGAAAGGAAGTGGGACTTCTGTGAGAGGGAAAATAGAGAATCTGAAGTGGTAGAAATGAATTGTCAAAAGCATTAGAGTATGGAGTAATGTCACACAGAGGAGGAAGTGAAGGAAAAGGATGAATAAACATTTGGACCTAAAAGTTAAATGTGTAGTTCTTCCTGAAGCTGGATGATCTGAGGAGGAGTGGCTGCTTATCCTCCAAGAAATGATAAAATAGAAGCACAGAATCTCTCAGATGAGGGGTCATAGTCATGATTAGTAACTGCCTGCTCAGCAGTACTAAGCCAGCTACTGACCCAGTGGAACAATAGAGAGAACTGTTGTATTCTCAGGATGTGTATTCACAACATAGCAGGAATTCCCAACACTTACCCCAAAAAAAAGATAACTCCTACCCTCTTCAGATAGGCACAAATGAGACTGCCAAAAGGAGCTTTAAAAGTATTGCCACAGCCTTAGGCAAGAAACTAAAGACCTCAGGGGCCTTGGCTGTGTTTTCCTTGCTAGTCCCCACTGATGACCAGAGATGCAGAAGAGAAGAGTTGATTTGGGAAGGAAATAACTGGCTAAGAAGATAGGGTTCTCATAATGGCCTCATGGCTTAAAACATAGACATAACAGGCTCCTCACCAGAGATGGAATATGCCTAACTAGAGTCTTGCTAATCTAATCAAGTGCTCCTATCTGGAATATTGTGTTTAGTTTGGGGCAATATAATTTAAGAAGGACATTGATAAACTGAAAGCATCCAGAGAAGGGCAACAGGAGGGGCCTTGGGGCCACGTCATTATAAGGAGTTATTGAAGGAACTGAGTATGTTTATGCTGGAGAAGAAAAGACTCATGCCTAAAAATTTTAAAAAAAAAATTTTTTAAGGAGTGTCAATTTAAAAAAAAGAAAAGAAAAGATTTAGAAACATCTGAATGGGTCCTCACGTGAAAGAGGCTCACGTGAAACCTTCAGTGGTTCAGTCTGACCCCAGAAGACAAAACAAGGAGCAATAAGTACAAGTTACGAAGAGGCTAATTTTAGGTTTGATATCATGAAAAACTTCCTAAAAATTGGCGTCATCCAAAAGTGTGATGGTTTGCCCCTGGAAATTGTGACTTTACTCTTTTTGGAAGTCCTGAATAAGAGATTGGATGACTACTTGTAGGTTAGGTTATGGTAGGGATCCCTTCTGGTCATGAATGAGATTAGATGACTCCCTTTCAAGTCCAAAATACAGTAATATGTCAGATACTTTATAAACTATAAAGAAATATGTAAATGTCAACTGTTTTTTTCTTTTTGGGAAACTATATAATTCAAAATTATTGGATCATATAGAGAGGAGAGATATTTTAGAGGAAAAAAAACGTTGAGTACCTTAGGACAAGGGTCATGGGATTTAGAACTGGAACAAACCATAAAAATTATAGGCTATTAAGGAGTTATTAAAGGAACTGCATATGTTTATCCTTGTGAAGAAAAAACTCAGACAAGTTTGCCAGAGACAAATTTATGAAAATTAAATAATTCTAAGAATCTTGACTGACCCAGTCCAACGTGACACAAGTTCATATTGCCTTTGAAAAATTTCTGTGACCCAAACCACTCCCATTCACAATTTATAGTATTCGTCAAACAAAAAGCAAAATTCCAAAATAAAATAAAACATAGTTACAAAGTTCATGTAATAGTTCTAGTCATCAAAAAGAACAATATACATTGTGGAGAATTGTTTTCCTAAGACCTTTTAATCCTTCTTTCACTCCCACTAAAGATTTTCCCGTTTTTTTAACTGGTCAAAGATGGGCTCAAGATACTTCTCTTACTTGAATTCATCAAAGTGGATTTTAGTCTGAACAATTTCAGGTAGGATTCCTTTATGCATTGATTATGCCTCTCTCTTTAGAACCTGGCTGGGCCTTCGATAAGAATGAATCAAATAAGACTCTAGACTGGGACACTCTTCTCCTTGACATTAAGTTGTCTGTTCTGAAA